CATTCATAAAAGCAGTGATAGAACGAAATATAAACTATACTTTCATTGGCATGTACCATTTTATTCGTTACTAATGGAACGTGATGTAAATTGCTAGTTTTTCAACTATTCTAACGTTTGAGTTTTGTATGCGTGTATTGAGTTTTGTATGCGTGTATTGACTTTTGTTTGCGTGTATTGACTTTTCTATGCGTGTACTGACTTTTGTATGCGTGTATTGACTTTTGTATGCGTGTATTGACTTTTGTTTGCGTGTATTGACTTTTGTATGCGTGTATTGACTTTTGTTTGCGTGTATTGACTTTTGTTTGCGTGTATTGACTTTTGTATGCGTGTGCTGACTTTTGTATACGTGTATTGACTTTTGTTTGCGTGTATTAAGTTTTGTATGCGTGTATTGACTTTTGTTTGCGTGTATTGACTTTTGTATGCGTGTATTGACTTTTGTTTGCGTGTATTGACTTTTGTATGCGTGTGCTGACTTTTGTATGCGTTTATTGACTTTTGTATGCGTGTATTGAGTTTTGTATGCGTGTATTGACTTTTGTATGCGTGTATTGACTTTTGTTTGCGTGTATTGACTTTTGTTTGCGTGTACTGACTTTTGTATGCGTGTATTTGGTTTTGTATTTGTGTATTTGAATTATTTGAATATTTCTTAAAATAGTCTCTGATAATATCCTCCATTCATAAAAGCAGTGATACAACGAAATATAAACTATACTTTCATTGGCATGTACCATTTTATTCGTTACTAATGGAACGTGATGTAAATTGCTAGTTTTTCAACTATTCTAACGTTTGAGTTTTGTATGCGTGTATTGAGTTTTGTATGCGTGTATTGACTTTTGTTTGCGTGTATTGACTTTTCTATGCGTGTACTGACTTTTGTATGCGTGTATTGACTTTTGTATGCGTGTATTGACTTTTGTTTGCGTGTATTGACTTTTGTATGCGTGTATTGACTTTTGTTTGCGTGTATTGACTTTTGTTTGCGTGTATTGACTTTTGTATGCGTGTGCTGACTTTTGTATACGTGTATTGACTTTTGTTTGCGTGTATTGAGTTTTGTATGCGTGTATTGACTTTTGTTTGCGTGTATTGACTTTTGTATGCGTGTATTGACTTTTGTTTGCGTGTATTGACTTTTGTATGCGTGTGCTGACTTTTGTATGCGTGTATTGACTTTTGTATGCGTGTATTGAGTTTTGTATGCGTGTATTGACTTTTGTATGCGTGTATTGACTTTTGTTTGCGTGTATTGACTTTTGTTTGCGTGTACTGACTTTTGTATGCGTGTATTTGGTTTTGTATTTGTGTATTTGAATTTGTATGCATGTTTGTACTTATGGGCCACCGTGGCTTTCACTAATTAACCGCGTTCTCTGATTGGCCAAGCAAAGCGAAAGTGCCAGCAGATGTAAACAAATCCTGAAACAAATATTTTTACACGGAGCGATTATAAATATATTCGGTTTCGGTTCTTAGAATTTTAACCTATCAAATTTTAGGAAACCGTTTTCAGATGAAAGTTGATTCTAATTTCATTTGTAGACTTGTATACAGTTGAATTCGAAGCTTGAGTTATATTTTAGTGAGTTCATAGAAAAAGCTCGCTATTAAATCATAGCGCATGTACGTACTTGGTCAAACGTTGCTCTTTTCAATTGCCAATTAGCCTAATGTAAATGAGTTAATACCAAGACGATTTAAACAATTACTTCGGCTATACTTTGTACCGAAGTATAGTTTCCACCTTTAAGCCGCGGCTACACGGGCAATTTTTTGATCGCGATATTTTGAAATCATCAACAAACTTTGAAAATCTTTCGTGTAACCACACGCATAATTGAATTGAATTTCATGCCCAAGATTTTCCATTTCATCCAACATGTCAACATTTGAATTAATATACTTGCTCATTAATTTAACGTGACGCTTAAGCCTTAATACAAGCATCAAATAAGACCTTATCGGCGTATGATTTATTTTACATCTATCAAAATATCAAGCACCGTATCAGTTCGACGACGTGGCCCACATTTCTCTCAATATTTCACGCATCCGTACACTCTATAGCGCGGTTCAGGCATTGAAATTATAAGAATAGGACAATTTGTAAAGGTCTTCTTTTTTGCTGCCTCGTAGAGGCAGCATACTAATTCTGTCGGTACCAGGCTTTCCGCGAGTTATGTGGAGGAGACAGGGAGAAAAAATCGAGATTAGAACAATGGATTGATGACGTTTTGTGACGTATGATTCGTTTCAGTGCATAACTTCCGGTTTCTGCCTGAATCAGTCTCGTGGTGTGGTTGGCAAGTTTAATACAACAACATTTTTTCAAAAAATATCGAATACTCTTTCCGTTTTGGGTTGTTGTTTCAAAGTAAGTTATCCTGAAATGTTATATGTTTATATTTATCTTGAATTGCTGTAGGTTTTACAGTAATGTACATCGACTGTATTTACATACACAACATTTCTGTCTACAGTATTAAATATGAAACAGTAAATATATACATCGACTGTACTTTATACATTTACAACATTTCTATCCCTTCTAGGTGTATATTTTGGTGTGTGTTCGCGGGGATCTTTTGGTCAAATCAAATCAAAGGGGACCGTTCATTTTATATGTTTCAAAAGCAGTGAAGTGTGAGCTCGCTGTACCTGTATTACCAAACTTGCTAGCGAAGTGTGATCTCGCTATAATATTTATACTAGCGAAGTGTGAACTCGCTATATTTTTATATTTTATACTAGCGAAGTGTGATCTCGCTAGCTGGGCAATCGTTGGCAATAATAAAGTTGTTTCATGTTGTCAAAAGATCAAGTCATCAAGGTATTGTATATCAAAAGTTACAAATATATAGGTTGTGTGTCAATAAGAAAATTGCCAATAAAAATAGTTATATATCACAGTAAAATGATCATCAGAGACAGAATAAAATTCACTCAGATAGCCGGTGACAATGTTTATTTACCATTGTTACTGAGATTAGCCAACGATGTTGAAGAAAACCCTGGGCCTACTGTATATGATGTAGTTGACCCAAGCAAAACTATTTGTGCTGATTTTAGCCAAGACAATGGTAGATTATTCAGACATAATGCTGCCAAGCAATGTGTTGCCATGTCATTGACATCAATAGTACACAGCAAAGTCAAAAATGTGAATGAATGGGATTCGTTATTCTTGAATTTAATTTTATGTTCTGGAAATGACCTTTATACTTACATAAGCAATTCTATTGGAAAAGAATTTTTACTATTATCTGAAGTACCAGAGTATGTTTTGGTATCCAGTCAAACATTTCATGTGACTTACAGTGCCTCATTTGGGGGAGATTTGTTTATGAATGCTACCATGTTACCATACTATTCATTGGAAGATTTGCTAAATAGCTTGTTCTTTAATTCTCAATATCAATATTGTCTTTTGACAATAAATAGCAATTGTGTTAGCATTATTAAAACTTCTGAAGGGCTTTACAAAGTTTTTGATCCTCACTCAAGAGATACTTACGGTATTCCTGATCCAAATGGTAAATGTGTTTTGGTTTCAATTGATAGCATAGGAAATTTAGTAACCTACTTTCAAAATACTATACCTGTACGAAGTGTGACACCATTTGAAATAAAAGGTGTAACAGTTGAGCTAATGGCATTTGAGTCAGCAGAACAAACAGACACTTCAGGTCAAAAAGCAAATACAAATAGAGCTTCTTACAAAAGGCGACAAACAACAGAGAGTGCAAGTCATAAACAAGCTTGGTTGGAAAATGCTAGGATCTACAAAAAGAGAAAACAACCCGAGAAAGAAGTAAGAAATTTACAGAATCAGGGTGATTATCTTGAAAGGTTTGACATCACAAATGGTGGTATTCATGAAACAAGCTTGGGCAAAATTTAACATGCAAAAGTTTAGCAAATCCATTCATTATATTGTAGCCAAATGCACAATTTGTAAAGAAGCATGGCCTGTAAAAGCATCTTCAAAAATATCTGAAACATATGTATGCCAAAGGTGTTCTAGAGATAAGAAATCTCCAAGAAAATTTTCATTTGAAAATTCAATGATTCCATCCCCTCAACCTGTCCAGTTACAGGGTTTGACTCAAGTGGAAGAAATGTTGATTGCTCGAGCTCTCCCAATTATGAGAGTTTATATTAAGCCTGGTGGGCAGAGGGGTTACTCAGGTCATTGTGTGAATCTGCCACAAAGTATTACAGAGCTGGCAACATCATTGCCACGATATCCGAGAGCATTATCTGTAATTCTGGTTAAAGTGAAAGGTAAAAACAATACATTTAAAGATGTAAAAGTAAGAAGAGAGAAAGTACATAATGCATTATTGTGGTTGATACAAAATAATCCTCTTTATGCTGAGTTAGAAATAGATACTGATGCATTGAATTCTTTACCAGAAAATGGTGTTGAGACTGAAGATGATATAATTAACGATAGTGACATGATGCCTGATGAAGGCCCACTTACTGATAACCCAGATGAGGACATTGTTTATAATAACTCCACGGAATTTAGTAGTTTTCTACCAGTTGGTGAACAGCAAGTACAAGAAAAGGAAGCTGTTAGGAACCAGCTGTCAGGTAATGGAGCAATTGCATGGCCAACAGTTGGAGACCAAGCTTTAAACGAATATCAAATATCTTGCCTAGCCACAATGGCCTTTCCAACATTATTCCCAGATGCAAAAGGGGATCCAACTAATGAAAGCCTTTTGAGAGATGTTTCTTTTGCAGAACGAATTAAACATTTAATTAAATATGGTGAGTTCATTGATTCAAGATGGGTTTATCGCTTTGCAAAGCACCCTAGATTTTCATATTGGGCGCTTAATATGATTCAGAGAAAAAGAATTTTGCAACAGAGTGGAATATTTCTCAAGCAAAATCCAGGTGAAGCACATCTCACTATTGATGAACTACGTGAAATGGCTGCAGGTAACAACTCAGCTGCATTCATGTCCAAAATATCAAGATATATTGGAAATATTTCAGGTAGTAATGCATATTGGAATAAAGTTAGAGAGGAACTGAAAGCTATAATCACGAATGTTGGGGCGCCAACCATTTTCTTTACATTTTCATCAGCTGATATGCACTGGCCTGAGTTACACTCTTTACTGGGAACTAATACAGCCAATTCTAGCAGTGATATAAGACGACAAAATGTAATAAATAATCCACACATTGTGGACTGGTTTTTTACTCAAAGGCTAGAATGTTTTATTAAACACTGGCTTTATAATACCCTAGGTGCAAA